CAGGTGCACCTGTACTTTGTTGATGCTAAAAAATTTAAATCACTAACTGTTCTTCATCAGAGTCAAATCATAACCTGTGATTACATTTCCTTTTGTGCATAGCTTTTTAAAAAAATGTTTGTTTATTTTTGAGAGAGAGAGACAGAGCGTGAGCAGGGGAGGAGGCTGAGAGAGAGAGGGAGACACAGAATCTGAAGCAGGCTCCAGGCTCCGAGCTGTCAGCACAGAGCCTGCTGCAGGGTTCGAACTCACAAACCATGAGATCATGACTTGAAGTCACATGCCCAACCAAGCCACTGAGGCTTGCCTTTTGTGCATAGCTTTTCATTTCCCGAAGTTTCTAATTGCCTTTCTTTTTTTCCTTATACAATTTGCCTGTCTCATATATCCAATTTCAAAAGGAAGGGAAAATAAAAACAAAGCACTTCCCCATGGCAGGTATGGCAGTTAGGGCTGGATGAGAGAGCAGAAGCATTAGGTGTGTCGTGTGAGATAGGGTTTATTATAGAAGCGGCACCACACTATATCTGCAGATCTGCCCCCACCACTTGTGGGAAAACTACCTGCCTCACACTTACCCCAAACTTCTCTCAAATTCTTCAATTTCTGCGTTCTCCAAGCCTTGCTACTCAAAATGTGGTGTGCAGACTGGCACCACTGGCTTCACCTGGGACTTTGTAAGAAATGCAGAATATCAGCCCACCCAGTCCCACTGAGGCAGAATCTGCATTTTAGCCAGGTTCCCAGGGCATTTGTGTGTCTGGTAAAGTTGGAGAAGCGCTGGTCTGGGTGACTTTGTGGAGCTTGCCATTTTCCTCTCAGCCTGTTCCAGTTCCTCGCAATGAAGTCTCCTGTCAGCAATGGCCCTCCAGCTGTTAACCTTACTGCGGAGGCTTGTCAGAGCTAATACCCTTGGTGCCTGAGAAGGCCCTGCCATTGTAGTTATCGATGATGATAATAATACTAGATGCTATCTGTTGATTACTATGTGCCTGGCATTGAGCTATGCATTGTACAGGCATTGTCTCTTTTCATACTCAACAAGCGTCTATTGTGTGAGTATTATAACTATCCCCATACACTAGATGGAAAAATGAGGTTTAAGAGGTGAAGTTACTTGCCCAAAGTCACACTGCAAATAAGTGATGCACTCAGGATTCAATTCAAAGCTTGTATGGCTCTAGAGTCTGTATGTCTTTAAATTTTTTTTTCATTTTTTTTTTAATAGAACATAAGCATGCATGAGCACGTGTGAGCAGGGAAGGGGCAGAGGAAGAGAGCATCCCAAGCAGACTTCACACTTAGTGTGGAGCCCCACTTGGGGCTTGATACCACAACCCTGGGAGCATGCCCAGAGCTGAAATCAAGAGTCGGATGCTCAACTGACTGAGCCACCCAGGTGCCCTTAAGGTCTGTATTTTTAAACCATCAGGATACAGTGTACACACAGGCAAGTGCACATCTCACAAATGTACAGCTGCCCCTCCAGCCCTTTTCATGCTTCCTATCAGACCCTCTACTTCCAAGGGTAATTTCTATCCTAACTTCCACATGTCCACATACCTAGATTAGTTGCCTGGTTTTGTACTTTATATACACGGAATAACACAAGATAGTCTTTTTTGTCGTAATGGAACTGCTGAATCAAACCCCTTGGACTTCCAATTTGTGTGAGACGCTACACTCCCTGGCTTCTTTTGTTTCACATTATGTTTATGAGACTCATGCATATTGTTGCATGTGGTGTAGATTGTCCGTTCTCATTGCTGTGTGAATATACCACAGTTACATGCCTGATCCACTGTTCATGGGCATTTGGGTGCCTTCCCGGTTTCGGGCGCTTATGAATACACAAACGTTCCAGTGCATGTGTTACGGTGAACATATGGTGTAGTCCTAGGAGCATAACTGGTGGGTGATACAGAACACGTCTGTGCTAGTAAATTCTGGAGCAGATGTACCTCTTACACTCACAGCAGCTGTGTATGAGAGCGCTGGTTGCTTCATTCTTTTGCCAATTTAGTTGGTCTTTTGGCACATTTCTTCTCTTCCATGTTAGCCGTCCTGGTGGCTGTGTAGTCAAAGCCCATGTATTTCTTACACCTCTTTCGTGGATGCATTTGCTTAGTGGTCACTCCTGTTGCCTACCCAGAATTCATCTTCATCTCCTTCTTTCCCACAGAATCCAACTTTTCCCTCATGTCTGCACTCCTTACCATGGACGTCAAGGGAAGCTGATCTGAGCCCTCGTTCCATGGCTCAGCTTTATTTAACTAAGGATAATTCCTCTCCCCTTAAGAATAGTCAATTCAGGGGGCGCCTAGGTGGCTTAGTCAGTAAAGCGTCCGACTTTCGCTTAGGTCATGATCTCGCGGTTCGTGGGTTCGAGCCCCGCGTCGGGCTCTGTGCTGACTGCCAGCTCAGAGCCTGGAGCCTGTTTCAGTCTGTGACTCCCTCTCTCTCTGACCCTCCCCTGCTCACGCTCTCTCTCTCTCTCCTAGAAATAAATAAAAAAACATTAAAAAAAAAAAAAAGAATAGTCAATTCAGGAAGGGGCAGGTGATCCAATTCTGTCCAAAGAATCTTCAGGAAGTTTACTGGGAGGATTTGGGAAAAGTCTCCTTACCCTTAAGAAGAGGCACAGGGAAAGATGATCTTAGATGTTGTAACATCTGGGTGTGATATCTGGGACTTGTACCCTAACTTTGAGCATCATGGAGCTGCTAAATCAAACACTTTGGACTTCCAATTTGGGTACAATAATACACCCCATTTGTGAAAACAAAGGAAACCTCATTTACAATTGAGTCAGAGCCCTGAAGGGGACCCTCTCGGGCAGGCCCTCCCCCTGCAGCCTGACTCATCCCCTGCAAGAAGGAATATCACAATTATTTTGACAAGGGAGGACGTTTTTCTTATAGGTAGTTCATCTTCTGCTTTTATGAAAAAGAAGGGGGATCCCTCCCTGCCCTACAACACATCACCCACCTCTGGCAGCCGGTGAGAAACTACCACAACCTCCAACTCTTCCCCAACAGACTTTTATTCAAAATACCCACCCTACCCAAGTTTTCTCCTACAACCTAATAAAAGCTGACCGTCTTTTTGTCTCTTTAGAATAACCTATGGTTCACCATAGCTTGCTTGTCCCAAATGCAATTCCTCTGCTATTCCTGAATAAACTCATTTGCTAGAAAAATAACTAGTTAATTTATTTTTAAGGTTGGTATCTTCTTACTTAAGCCAGAATGAGTACAAGTTTCTGTACCTTGAATCCTAATTGATACAACTTATTTTAAAGTTAGTGCGCACCAATATCTCCTTGCAGAGCTTTGGAAATGTAGCTCCTTCCTCCCAGAAGCTTCCGGGGAGGGAAATCTGTCTTCAGCCACTGGGGCAAACTGCCTCCCAGGACTGATAGGAGAGAAGAGGAAGAGCATGAGTTCCAGAGGCAGACACTCCTGGAGGTGGACCCTGCCTCTCCTACCTGTTAGAGCGGGACGCTAGGCAAGTGCTTCACCTTAGTTTTCTGGTCTGTAAACTGGGGGCCAAGAATCCCAGCGTGCCTCAAGGGGTGTCTGTGAGGCTCCAAGGAGATAGTAGAAGGGAAAGTTGTCCTCAGCGATCAAGGCTGCAGACTGCAGGCCACAGACCTAACCCCTCAGTAAAGCCAGCCGAGCCAGAGCTGGGGCGAGGTCTCCTGACCCCCCAGTGGTGGTTTCTCCGTCCTAACATGACCCAGCTTCTTGGGAAGGCTCGTCTCCTTTTTCCTGCCCCTTCCCCAAATGCAAGGCCTAAATGGGTCCTGAAGTAGAATTGGGGCGGAGTGTCAGAATTTCTCTCGACTAGACAGACGCCTGCCCTTGCGGAGCTCGCCTGAGCCCAGCCTTGCCAGACCCGGAGCAGGGCGGCCACCATGGGCCTTTGTTGTCTCTGGCCACTGTTGCTCATTTCTCTGGGAGCTGCCTAGCTGCAGAGAAAGGCCTTCGGAACCCTTCTCTTTTCAGCCAGGCTTTATTGAATTTCACCTCCATTTTGTTTCCTTTCCAAACAGGAACATCATTTATCTTGGACTTCACGTTGGAACGGTCTCCAAGAGCTTTCTCTTTCCCAGCGGCGATTGTTGACACACAGTCAATCTGTCTCTCCCCCCACCCCTCCCCCGGCCGCCACAGCTGTGCCCTTGATTACCCCGCCCTCCCTGTGCCCACGGGGGGCGGGGGGGGGCAGCTGAAATGCAGCGCAGCCAGTACTGCCGACAAAAAGGGACAATTTTCAAACATTTTTGCTTTTCATCAGGGAAGCCGATGGCACAAAGAAAATGCATCATTTTACTCTAAATGCTTTTAAAATATGGGTCACTTGATCAGTATCAGCCCCGAAGGACGGAGAAGTCCAAAGCCTAAAAGCAATCACACAGACCTGCAGGTCTCCCCACATTGCCTTTTAAATTATGTGACTTAACACAGAGGAAAACGGGGCAGTGGGGAGGGAGTGTCTCCAACCGACCCACGCCCCCGCCTGCACCTCCCTCCTCTCCTCAGTGTGAGTGGGGAGCTGGAAATGTTTGCCCGGCAGGAATGGCAGGCTGCAGGCCACGAGCGCCTTTTCCGTTATTGCTCTTATTTCAGGAAGTATCACGATCAGGGGGCCTGTGGGCCGGTCGCTCGGGATGCGGGGACTTTCCCAACCCCGGCGGAGAGGAACCCCTGGCTGTGGTCGCTGTGGTCGCTGAGGACCCGCCTGGGCGTGCGCCCGCAGGGTTGCGGCCGGCGAGGACGGGCGTGTGCAGGGGCGCCGCGCGGGGGCGCGGGTGCTCCTCGGAGGCGCGCCCCTGCTGGCCGGGCGGCACCGGGCGAGACGCACGACGGCCGGCGCAGGGTGGAGGACTGGGGGCGCGGCCGCGGTGGGGGCCCCAGGGCGCCGGGCGCGGCGGGGACCACCCCGACCCGGCGTCGGAGGCCCGCGCGGAACGCCCGCCGCGGCCCCATCTGGGCGCTGGACGCAGCCCGTCACCGCTCTGCGCCGCGGGGCGGGGGCTCGCAGGCCGGGACTCGCCGTCAGGTGGGCGGTTCCCCGAACTGCGAACCAGAAGGTGGGCCCCGAGACGGTGTCTGGGCTGCTTGACGACTGGGCAAAAGTTTCCCAAGGCATTCAGATTCCAAACTAGAGATGGTATCAAGCGATGCCCGGAAAGCCTCCCTAGGTGAGATGTATGAGGATGCTCTCGTTGATGGGTGGAGGGCATGCGGCCGCGGGCCTCTGAGCCCAGCTCTGCTGCCACCTAGCTAAATAACCAATTTTTGACCCCCATTCCCTGTCTGTAAGTCAGGAATAATAATAGTGGCTATGCCTTAAGGTTGTGAGGACTGCAGTGAGATTGATTGAAGCCATCTTGTCAATTCAGATGAAGGGATAGACGCTGGAGTTCATATCTGCCACGGGCCGCTGGACCAACCAAGGAACCTTCAGGAATGCAACCCCACAAGTTTGCAAGGAAAGATGTTTTTCAGATTCCAACTCTCTTGAGATGGAAAAGACTTATGGAGGGACCAGACCAAGTGTTCCCCAAGCACCTGCTAATATAACGTCATGGACTCCAATCAACCACAAACACCTTCTCAGGAGACCCATGTCCCCCAATTTTGCCCTTAAAAAACCCTCACTTGCAAGCCATTTGGGGAGGTAAGGACTTGTGAGCATTAGCTCCTGGTTCTCCTGGGTGGTGCCAAACCAATAAACAGCCCATCTTTCTTCACTGCAAAAGCTACGATGTGTCAGTATTTATTGGCTTGTTGCGCAAAAGGTAGACAAATTCCCTTTTGGTTCATCTACATAATCCTACAAAGCCCTAAGTGTCACGGAGTGAGTACTTAACCATACTCAGTCTAGTGACTTGAGAATTTAGAGGTGAGAAATGGAGGCTGGTAAATGATGGCTTCCCTTCCCTCTCTTCTTTCCTTCCTTCCTGGCCTCTCAGATACAGGGAAGAGAGTCATTGTTGAAGGCAGGCTTAGCAGTCAACTGTAAAATAGTGTGTTGGTGTGGTAACGTAAAACACTATTTGGGGATCATACAGATAGACATGAATTCCCTGCTCTGCCAGTTCCAGCTTTGTGACATTGGATGCATTACTTTATCCTTCTGAGCCTCTGGTTTTCTCATCAGTTAAAAGGTGTGCAGATCCTTACCTGATGTATTAAGTGTGATAATGTGTGTAATACTTCTGTCTTCCTTCCCAGGAGTCTCCCTACCTTGTGTTTCATACTGGAGAAAGTGACAGTGAACAATATAACGGGATACCAACATGGTTGTGGGGGTAACAAAAGAGAAGGCTGGGCTGAAATGAAATATAGATGCAGACCTCTACCGCTTAACTGTGGGAGAATTTCCAGGGGAGCGAGTTACTGCCAAAGACCTTGTAATGCTGTGCGAGTTTGACCTTCACAATCTGGCTCCTACTGTTATCACTTTGCTTGATAATGAGGATGATGATGACAAGAGCTAGCTGTGATATTATAATTTATAATAAACATATATTTGATCTTTCTCCAGTGCCTGGCTCACAGCTCCTAAAACCTTTGGAATTTCCTTACAAATCAAAACCACAATGAGACACCACCTCATATCTGTCAGAATGGCTAAATTTAACGGTTCAGGAAACAACAGATGTTGGCGAGGCTGCAGAGAAAGAGGAACCCTCTTGCAGTGCTGGTGGGAATGCAAACTGGTGCAGCCACTCTGGAAAACAGTATGGAGGTTCCTCAAAAAATTAAAACTAGAGCTACCCTACTACCCAGCAATAGCACTACTAGGAATGTATCCAAAGGATACAAGAATGCTGATGCGAAGGGGCACATGCACCCCAATGTTTATAGCAGCGCTATTAGCAATAGCCAAATTATGGAAAGAGCCCAAATATTCACCGATTGATGAATGGAAAAAGAAGATGTGGTGTGGGTCAGTGCCCTGTAAACTGTTCCAGCATTGGATGTGAAGATAACAGCCTTACTGAAGGGAAAGTCACCACTTTATAAGGAGTCTTCCAAAGCACCCAAACACAGTGAAGTCCAATAAAGTGGAAAATCAGAAGCCCAAAAGAAGCTGTATAGCATTTACAGTAACAAATTTGTGGACATCTGTAGACAGAAACAGAGCATGAGTGTGGGAGGAGCAGAGAGAGAGGGAGACACAGAATCCGAAGCAGGCTCCAGGCTCTGAGCCGTCAGCACAGAGCCTGATGTGGTGCTCAAACGCACGAACCATGAGATCATGACCTGAGCGGAAGTCGGGCACTTAACCGACTGAGCCACCCAGGCGCCCCAGAAGCAATTTGAATGTTAACAGAAAACAATCACGTGCAAAGAAGTAGAGGGTCCACAATGGTGGCTGGGGAAAATGCCACAACCGAGCTTGGAGAGCATAGTCTCATGGCCCATATTTCCTCAAATCATCCTCATTGTAAGAAGAAATCTGTCATGGTGTACCTTCAGGAAGGGAGACTAGGGAGTCTGGGCATTAGTCTTGCCCCTTATCATCTCATCTAGACTTAATACATCTTTCTAAGGCATATTGGAGTTTATAATTTTCGAAGAAGAAATGAATCACATTGGCTGAAATTTATGGAAATTAAGTAGCCTGAGTTTCATTCACTTGCATTTTGCCAAAAAGATAAAAGTATAAATATCCCCATAAAACACACACACGCACACACACACAATGGAATATTACTTGGTGATTAAGAAGAATGAAATCTTACCATTTGCAACAACATGGATGGACGTAGAGTGTATTATATTAAGTGAAATAAGTCCAAGAAAGACAAATACATGATTTCATTCATGTGGAATTTAAGAAAAATAACAGATGAACATAGGGGAAGGGAAGGAAAAATAAGATGAAAACAGGGATGCAAACCATAAGAAACTTCTTTTTGAGAGAGAGGGAGAGCATTCGCAAGCAGGGGAGGGACAGAGAGAGAAGGACAGAAGATCTGAATCGGGCTCTGTGCTGACAGCAGAGAGCAGGATGCAGGACTTGAACTCACGAACCCGTGAGATCATGACCTGGGCTGAAGTTGGATGCTTAATCAATTGAGCTACGCAGGTGCCCCAAGAGACTCTTAAATACAGAGAACAAAATGAGAATTGTTGGAGGGGAGGTGGGTGGGGGGATGTGCTAGATGGGTGATGAGCATTAAGGAGGGCACCTGTTGGGATGAGCACTGGGTGTCATATGTAAGTGATGAATCACTAAAGTCTCCTGAAACCATTTATATATTAACTAACTTGGATTTAATTAAAATAAACAAAAAAAAATAATAAAAGCCTTGGAATTTCTTAAGTGATAAGAGCTAGGGGTGTCTTTTGTTATGTTAATGAGGCGACTGGGGGGCCACACGCAAGGGTGGGGGCTGGTTGCAGGAAAGCAGCAGGTGTTTAGAAGGTGGGAACTTTCAGACCCACCTCCCTGACCTCCGGGGAGGAGGCGCAGGTTGAATCAATCCCTAACTCCCAATGATTTTATTTTTTATTTTTTAAAAATTTTTAGTGTTTTTTATTTATTTCTGAGAGAGAGAGACAGTGTGAGCAGGGGAGGGTCAGAGAGAAAGGGAGACACAGAATCCGAAACAGGCTCCAGGCTCTGAGCTGGCTGTCAGCACAGAGCCCGACGTGGGGCTCGAACCCAGAAACTGTGAGATCATGACCTGAGCCGAAGCCGGAAGTTTAACCGACTGAGCCACCCAGGTGCCCCTCCCAATGATCTTAATCAGTCGAGCCTGCGTCTTGAAGCCTCCATTAAACCCCACAAGGAGAGAGCTTCCAGGCTGGTGAGCGTCTGGAGGTTCAGAAACGGTGATGCCCTCGCGAGCTCCGCCTCCTGTCCTGGCTGTTGGTGACTCGTATCTTGCAGCGGGGCCGCTGGTCCAGCAGGTAAAATGTTTCTCTTGCTTCTGTGAGCTGCTGTAGGAACTTCGTGGCACCCAGGGAGAGGCGGTCCTTGGAACGTCTCACGCGCAGCGCACCGGTGGGTCAGAAGCACGGGTGACCGGCGTGGTGACGAGGTGGGGGAGGGGCAGTCTGCGGACCGAGCCCTGCCTCTGTCTCCAGCTCCAGTAGATCCTGGCGGAGTCGAGCTGCAGGGGACCCCGCGGGTTGCAGGGAATTGCTTGCTGTGGGGAAAGGGCCTCGGGAGTGGGGGTGTGGCTGTGCTGTGAGTAAAGGGGATACGCAGGAGGAGGACTGGGTTTGCACAAGCTTGGGACACCCCACCCCCTTCCTTCGTTCCCCTAAGTACAGTTAAGTCTGGTGAGAACTTCCCACCTATGGAAACACCAGGGAAACTACGTGGAAACAAACACAGGAAGCCGAGAAGCCAGAAACGCTAGGGCTTCAGTTTTCCAACCCTCCGCAGCTGGCTTGCTCCCCGCTCTATTTCCTGCAGTCTTTGCAATCTTAATCCCCCTGGGCCGAGGCCCTGTATGTCATGGTGTTGGAGTAACTCAAGTTTGTATACGTAAAAACAAAACCCCTTCCTACCAGGCTTACTGCAGATCAGATTCTACCTTCTTGTTCAGCTCTAGACTTACTTATGTCCGGTTCTTGCTTATTCTCTATTCTGATGATGGAGTTGAAGCCTGTAATTATAATCCATAGTTTTGTAGGAACTTTCTTTGGCTCCCTGCTTTTCTGTTTGTTTTGGTCTGTGTTTCTCATGTGAGGGTTTCCTTAAATATCTGTTGACCCTTGATTGTCCCTTCATATTGAGGGAGTCCATGCAAACTCCCCTGCAAGCCCGGTGTGCACTAGTCGTGAATCCTGTGAGGCCTGCTTTCCGCCCGCCGCGCTCTCCTTTCTCCGTCCAGCCACACTGAACTCCTTCAGTCCCCCCCCCGCAGATCAGGTTTGTTGTTGCCGCAGGCCTTTGCCCTTCGTATTCCAACAGCCTGGAGAGCGTATCCCCTGGATGTTCCCCTGGCTTATTTCACCTCCTTCGGGTTTCTGCTCATATAATGCTTTACCACTGAGGCCTCTCCCGATGCCTTTTATAAAACTTCTACCTGGGTCTACTTCTGCTTTAGTCTCCATAGGCCTTAGGGTCACGTGACACCATGTTAGGTTTACCCTTATGCTGTGTGTGTTGTCTGTTTTTATCCAGGGGAGTCACGGTGCCCATGAGGTCAGGGTCTTTATTTTGTTCACTAATGTGTCTGCTGCGTGTCAAGCAGGGCTTGTCACACTAGGATGTATTAAATGTGTGCTTGAGGGAGGAAGGAGTGAGTGAGTGGTGGCCTCAATGAGTGTGAAAGAGCCAGGATGGGGGCATTTCACTGGAAGACCCTTCACCTTCAGTCTCTTTAGATCCTTTTTCGGGGCTAGTTTTCTCAACTCCGGGAGTCCTCACTGCCAGTGTTCTTGGAGTTGACAGGGAGAAGGTCTCTTACCTGACCCCCTGGTTCTAGCAAAGTACCCCTGCCTTCTGTGCCTGAGCCCTTTGGATTAACCTCTTCTGAGGCAGATTCCTGGCTTCTCCTGGGCGGCAGAATAGGAATCGCTTGCTCACGTACAGTAGGGGCGTCCGGTTTCAAGCCCACCCACACCCTTATTCTCAGAAGTGCCCTGCATCTCTGCTTCCTAAGCCACTCTGGGGTGCTGCACGGTTTATTTGTCCCAGTGGTGCGCTGGTAAACGTTTAACTGGCTGGCCAGTGAGAAAAGCCCTGAGGTGGTGGTGGCGGCGGCGGCTCTCCCGTGGTCTAACTCCTCC